CCGACTGCAAATTGCCTCCCAATCTCCGCCATATGTTCGCTTCAAAAATTTTGGAGATCTCTCTACCGTATCCTTACCAGTTATCACTGAACCACAAAGTACAACCAGAATTTCATCCCAATTTAATATGCAAGATAACTTTTTACCTGATAATAGTCAATCCGCGCAACCATCTCATGGGAGAACCTGTGCCAATGCACAAAATGCTGAGCCTCTACTCAACATATCAAACCAGCAACATATCAACAGCTCAATATATCAACCAGCAATAATGCGTTCTGAAAGTGTTGATGAACCCCCACCAGATTATTTCTCTCTGGATCTTGTGGAGTTACCAATGGATGGTAGCCAAAAGTAATAAGCAAGATAGTCATTAAGAAATAAATCTAAACACTAATTCTTTTTATTTATTAAGAAATATCAACATGTCAAATACTCCAGCATTAATTGAACTGAAATTGTTAATGAACGCCGACTAGATTATTACTCTCTTGATTTTGCCTAGTTATTCGTAGCAAAAAGCCTAAACCAATCATCAGGACAATGATGCAACAACGAATCTGAAAACTCGTCTCTTTGATCTACCAAGAACTTTTTGCCAAAAAATTATGAATTTTATATTTGAAATTATATGATATTAAACGTTTATGACATTCCTATGTTAATTATTTGATTCTTTTCTAGAACAAGTAGCTTTATCTGCTTTATAATCACAAACCAGATATAAATTATTTAGATGACGGATATTTTTAAAGTGATGATTTATTGTTATCTTCGTAAAACCAAAACTCCAGCATTAAATGAACTGAAATTGTTAATGAACGCCGACTAGATTATTACTCTCTTGATTTTGCCTAGTTATTCGTAGCAAAAAGCCTAAACCAATCATCAGGACAATGATATAACAACGAATCTGAAAACTCGTCTCTTTAATCTACCAAGAACTTTTTGCCAAAAAATTATGAATTTTATATTTGAAATTATATGATATTAAACGTTTATGACATTCCTATGTTTATTATTTGACTCTTTTCTAGAACAAGTAGCTTTATCTGCTTTATAATCACGAACCAGATATAAATTATTTAGATGACGGATATTTTTAAAGTGATGATTTATTGTTATCTTCGTAAAACCAAAACTCCAGCATTAAATGAACTGAAATTGTTAATGAACGCCGACTAGATTATTACTCTCTTGATTTTGCCTAGTTATTCGTAGCAAAAAGCCTAAACCAATCATCAGGACAATGATATAACAACGAATCTGAAAACTCGTCTCTTTAATCTACCAAGAACTTTTTGCCAAAAAATTATGAATTTTATATTTGAAATTATATGATATTAAACGTTTATGACATTCCTATGTTTATTATTTGACTCTTTTCTAGAACAAGTAGCTTTATCTGCTTTATAATCACGAACCAGATATAAATTATTTAGATGACGGATATTTTTAAAGTGATGATTTATTGTTATCTTCGTAAAACCAAAACTCCAGCATTAAATGAACTGAAATTGTTAATGAACGCCGACTAGATTATTACTCTCTTGATTTTGCCTAGTTATTCGTAGCAAAAAGCCTAAACCAATCATCAGGACAATGATATAACAACGAATCTGAAAACTCGTCTCTTTAATCTACCAAGAACTTTTTGCCAAAAAATTATGAATTTTATATTTGAAATTATATGATATTAAACGTTTATGACATTCCTATGTTTATTATTTGACTCTTTTCTAGAACAAGTAGCTTTATCTGCTTTATAATCACGAACCAGATATAAATTATTTAGATGACGGATATTTTTAAAGTGATGATTTATTGTTATCTTCGTAAAACCAAAACTCCAGCATTAAATGAACTGAAATTGTTAATGAACGCCGACTAGATTATTACTCTCTTGATTTTGCCTAGTTATTCGCAGCAAAAAGCCTAAAACAATCACCAGGACATAAATTATTTAGATGACGGATATTTTTAAAGTGATGATTTATTGTTATCTTCGTGAAACAAAAACCTGAATTTGGTAAGCCATTCATGCTTTTGATATTGTAATTTTTGTTTGAAAGTTCAATCGGCAGGATAATTAATACAAACTATACAATAATGCATTTTCAATCGAAGCCAGCCAGTGCAATTTCCTTAAATGTACGTACAGTGCTAAGAAAAAAAAACAGACCACCTAGAATAACTTTTGATCTAATAATCGGATCTTCACGTTCTAGGACTCAATTTTAATGCTTTGAGGGTGCAACCTCAAATTTGCCATTTAATTAATTCAGATGCTATTTTAAGTTACGATATCAGACAAAAAAATTTCTTTCTCTGAATAAACATACCCTTTTTTCCCCAACGGATTCGGATTTTTTAACTTCCAAAATATAGAGAGTAGCCGTAGTCTGAGAAGTATGGTGCCCATAGTTTGATCAGGTGAGCGATCTAAAGTTTGGACCCCTTAATGTTAATTTTACTTCGTGCGTATTTCGCCATATTTCAAGAACTTTTTAAATAGTCTTATATTTTCCAGATTCGGGGGTCAGAAATTTGATCCCGTTGAAATAAAAGGTATGTTTATTCAGGAAAATTCTTCTGTCTGAATTTCTTAACTTAAAATATCGCATGCACAAACTAATTAGAAAACTAATAGCGTGGTCTCCTCCTCGAAGCATTAAATTTGAGACCTAGAATGTGAAGATCTGATTAAGAAGTTAGAAGTTATTCAGAATTGTCGTTGATTTTTTTCTGACTAACTGTACAAAGAAAAAAAAAGAATAATTAATGTAAATTTTATATACGTGACGGAGATATCCACTTGCTCTGGACAGCGGAAGAATATTTTCAAGTTCTAGTCTTTAATTGTATGGTTCTTGGTTTAATAAATTCGATTTACAGTTTTTGCCCATCACTATTTCTAAATAATAGAATGACTTATGAGATAAGCCACTTTGTTACAGGTAAGTCGTGATAAGCTTTTTAAAAAGTTGGCACAATTAACCGAAAATTTGTAAATTTTAGTTCGTAGCTCTCTACTGTTTCACAAAATATTTTGTCGAATCCAAAGCAGTTGGCATATCTGCCGTAAATAACTTCACCGTAGTGCTCGGGTCGGAATTTAAGATGCATACTAAAACATGTATCGCTACTATTTGAAATATTGTTGTTAGAATTATTAAGAAGGTTTGTGGTTTTAAACCTTATATGCTCCATCGAAATTAATACGATGACGACGGGATTTCCTGGTTTGCTGAACGGTGGGCTCGTGTTCGTGAAAACGTGATTTTGAATCCCGCTGGTCGAAGAATCCCTGTATTAAATTGCGACTGGAACACGTTAAAACTGTTTATGTCACAAAGTCTTCCAAGTTCCCATAAAAGAGTACTGGGTGTACTGAATCGGAGATTGATCTTACTCTGGTTCAGGTCAAAATTACGATCTGTGGATGAAGAATTGTGTCTTACCTCTAAAACGGGCTGCGAGGTGTATGTGGCTAAAGATCTTGGCCATAGATTACGCCAAAGAAAAGCAAGAAACACACACTCTGCCTCAAAAACTTGCCCGATTTCCAGCAGGCTTGCTGATTGACAAGTGGCATAAGTAACAACATAATAACGATTATATCGAAAGTTATCGCTCTAAGTCTTAAAATTTTTAGATCGTAAAAATTAGTAACCATGCAACTTTAAGAATTTTTGAAAACTTTATATGAATAATGCACTAAATAGTTTAAATCATTGTTTCTCAACCACCAGTCAGCGTACCGGTGCCTGACCCCTAATTTACAATCCAGTAGCATTCAACGACTCTCTTTTTTGGAGATTTTCCTCATGGCTGTGGTAGGTAGCAGTTATAGGCTTAATTTCTTTTAAAATTTGTTACCTAAACTAAAAGAAAAAGTCAAGAGTAATTTTTTAATTTTTTTAAAAAGAAAATGTCCATCAGGAGAACGGATAATCAAATTCCACAGGATTGTAAAATCGCTTCCATGCCGCAAATTTTGATTCACGGGTCTAACAAGCGCTATTACCTAAAACTAATGAATTTGTTATCTGCTCAATATCGAACAAAGACCTTTTTACCTCATTTATTGTCAAAAGTATAAAAAAAAAGACTCTAATCCGATTTCTCTCCCCCTTCAGTAGCTTCTTTAACATACAACAGATCAAATGACAATATGGTATTTTCTCGAACGCATGCTTTTAACTCCATAAGGTTCTGTTAAAATTTTATTGCTTTTTTCTTCAACTTATTTGCCTGAAAGTACATTTCCAGTTATGAGTATAATTTAATGAAAACATTCAAATCGACTCGATCTTGGTCCGCTTTTCGTGTTCATGTAACTAGGTTATAACATCTAGAATTGACATGTTTGTCTGCAATAAACGACAACAGCAATCAAATTAAATCGTTTCATTTATTATGTTTTTTGCATGCTTATTATCTTCATCTTCCTTACCTGAATAGCAAAAACAATAATTTTATTAGAATTTACATTAATTTTATTCATATTTAAATTGAGGATAATAATTTATTTTCCCTCGACGGTACCTGTATACCCTAGAGGGCGTGTCCCCAGGTGGCGGATCAGGGAATGCCTCCATTGGTTTCCCTTGGCTGGTAGAAAGGAAATAAAACACCTTCGACGGACCAACAGGCAAAAGTCCAACCTCCTAGGAGGCTCTGGCAACCTTCTTCTTCCGCTGTTTTAGATACTTTTGGACAAATTTAATTTTCCTTGCAGTACTCGACAAGACAACAACAACAACAATTGAGGCTCAAAATATTTCTCATTGTTAAGAGAATGTGAATGATCAGAAACAAACTGGTCAAAAAATTGCTTAAGCGCCACGATTTTGTAAAAATTATGCCGATTTTCCAAATTACTAACACTTTACTGGTCAACAATAAAACACTAGGACGCCAATATATATATATATATATANTTCAGTTTGTTGTAGGTTCATAACTAAAAACTGAATTCTTTCCGTTCTTTTGTTTAGTTGAAAACTTCAACGACGATGATCATTACAATACTGGAAGAAAACTTATGGAAAAAGGCATGAATGGTGGTGAGTTTGTAATTTACATCATACTGGTAGTCATATTCTCCATGATATCTATATGCTGCCGTCTTTACTGTCGACACGCCTGCAAAGATGAATGCGAGTGTTCAAACGACGATAACAGTGACTGTGAGGGATGTTGCTGTTGCGATGATCACTCTCTGGCAAATCCTAGTCATGCAAGAGCCCCAGCAACCAACACTTGGCAACCACCAGTTCAACAGCAACCTCGACAGTTCACCAATTTTGGAACTCTTTCAACTGAACGAAACACACTTTCGTTTTACAACAGAGCAAATTTTGCTGAAACGCAGAACACTGCAACCATATTTGCCCAAGACAGTTCTAATTTTCAAGCACCACTTGGAATCGCCAATGCTCCTCCGCGGTATGACTTTATGAATGCTCCTAGTGCCCCGCATCCATACAACGCACCCAATGAATCTCATATATATAATATACCAAGTATTCCAGCTGCAGTCCATTCAGTGAATACTGACGATCCACCACCTGATTATGCAAGTGTAGTTCTCGGAGATTTGCTTCAAGGAAATGAACACACACAATTTCCGAGAGTCACGCAAGACAAATAACATGTATAGCATAAAAAATAAATATTGTATTAATTTATGAAAACATATAATGTGTCAACTGTCAATTTTAACGCTTTTTGGGGAAGATTTTTTCCAAGGTTGACAGAATTTCATAGCTTCTTAAAGCTAAATAATTTCTTTTTTAAATTATGGCTGCTTTAACCCTTTGTGCTCGAGGTTCTTTCAACGGTTAAATAAAACGAACAAGTCTAGTCCTAGTTAGATTCTGTTTTGAGATCTGGGCTCCTGGACCGTACAGCGACCCTTATCCCAATCATCTCTTAATTATTTAAACAGTGAATCGGGAACATTTTAGTTAGCAGTCGTTGTGATTGATAACTACAAACTCAAGGTCTGTTATTTATTACACAATACCAGGAGACTACTAAACAAAGTGGTGACTAAATATTAAGACTTAACAATTATACCATTCAGAGTGACAGGTATTTTGTAGTATGCTGTGATGACAGACCCCTCCAACACTGAAGGTTAAATTTTCACTTAGTTCTTATTTAATTGCCAATGGAGAAGTCTTCCTCATAAAACTAAAAATTGCAGCTATGATACTTTTGTTTTAGAAATAAAATTTTTGTTAAAATTGTGGGATGCTTGTTACTGTGCACATTCTTTTTATGTTAACATTTAAATTAAATATTCGCACTAAAATTCAATGAAATAGCGCGTTAAATGTTGACATAGTCTTAGAAACGACTAGTTTTGGGGAAATTCGCAACATAGCATAAGAAATTGATATTTCCACTTCAAGGTTTCTCTTGAGAATTCATATTTCTTTTATCGAAAATTAGAGCACAATTTATCGTTTAGAAACATTCTAATTTCGAAGTTGCTGAGCTAATTTTTAAATTAGGTAGAAACGAAAAAAAAAATAACTGGCTAATAATACTGAATATTTATTAAATGTAACTCATATATGGACTAAAGAAAAAAACAACATGAATAAAGCACAAATAAAAGCATATACGTGACTAAGTTGTCTCTACAAAATGAATCTAAAAAAAGAAACACTTGGCAATAACCTTTCATTTCTTTTATTTTCCTTTTGAATAACAAACCCTCATTTTAAATGGTTTTTAGTAGGAATGCCACTTCCGACTAAATACGCAAAAAGTGGTGACTGATTCAAAATTTTATTTAACGATATTAAAATTAGACACAATTTTTAAAAATTACTATTCATAATACATAATGATCTGGTCTAGCTGGGCCAATAATGGCCCTTTTCCCAATCATCCTGTAATGAGAACATAAGCAAAAACAATAGACGGATTACATAAAAATGCAACAAATATTTGAATGTATAGAATATTTTAAGACATAGTTACAAGCAGTGTGGTGCAACTTTTTTTTTTATAATTGTGACTAATTTTAAATCTAAATCATAGTGGTAGTTAAAATTGAATAATTAAAGAGACAATTGTTAAAAATAATAATTTGAATTTATAACACATTTAACATTTTTTGTCGCTTCTGGCATCCCTGTCTTTAACCTTTTCGGGCCGACTGTCACAAATACGTGACAGCATAAAACCGTATCAATCAGGTTAATAATATAAAACTGGTATTCAAAGTATTTCTTTAGCAGTTTATTTGTGGGCGGAGTAATAATTGTTTGATTTATTTAATTCACCAATCCTTTGTTCAAAATAAAACTATTTAGTTATACTTTGAATTAACATTGATTATATATATGTTTAAACTAACAATAATTAAATTAAAAGCAAAGTAAGTCTGTNCCTTTCAAAGAAAGCTGTAGCAAGATTGCAACTTGATTCTGATTTTGTACGAATGCTTTTCTGAATCACCCGTCCCCAAAGGGTTAAGGGGTAGGTACAAGTGGGTTAACTGTTCTATAATAAACCCTGAAAGGTTAAAAAAGAACGAATTTTTTTTTGTAGACAGAATTCAAAATTAATATTTAACATTACAGTAAAAATGGAAATATTTTTGTTTCAAATTGTATTTTATCTTTTACTAGCTTATGTTTAAAAAATAATTATATTTATAATACCTCTTAAGCGTAATACTCATTTATATAATTTTGTAGTACATGTCACAGTTCAGATCACTTCGAGCCAAATATTGAGTTAACAACAGTATACAGCATGAAAAAACTTTCCTTGCAGTGTTGGAATACACTCAAATTAAATCCTTTACTTGTTATATCCGAACTCATCGCCACGGACTGTTCAAAGTTGGATAATTTTACTGCACCTCAATGAGTGAGGGGAAAACGTTGATTGTTTTGATTTAATATTTTTACTTTTTAGTGTATTTAATCATGCCTTTAAAATTTAATGTTCCTTGAGCAGCCTGGTACTATTTAATCAACGGACGAGTCCTGGCGTTGCAGACCACTGTCATTGTCATTGAGCAGTAACGTCTATCATAGGATGACGGGGAAGTGAGATTGTTTTACACTTTTTACAAAAATAATTTTGAATTTAGAGATACTAAATTTACAGCAGGTGGTAACATGTTTTATTTCGCATTTTTATTCATTTTAATAAATCGCTCATGGGCTGCAATAGTGGCACAACTCAAAAAATCATGTTTTGAGATAAGTGTGATTAAAGTTTTCATTGTTGAGGAAAATGCATAAGAAATGCTTTACTTTACTTACTTTACTTTATTTATAAAAAATTGGGCACCTGGGCCGCGCAGCGGCCCCTATCCCATACATCTAGAAATTTACATAAGTTTAAAGTGATAACATTTTGAATTTAGCAGTCGATGTGGTTGCTAATACAAAATTACAAGCACTTTGCTTGGGTAAATAAACATTTGAATATCGAAACTAAATTTACACATATAAATATAAGCATATAAATATAAACATAATTTGAAATATATATACATAGGTTGACATAGATAAACATAGTAGATATAACATTTGACTATAGAATCTAAATTGACACATATTGACATATATAAATATAAACATAATTTGAAATATATATACATAGGTTGACATAAATTAATATAGTAAATATAACATTTGAATATCGAATCTAAATTGACATCTGTTGACATATATAAATATAAGCGAAATATTGTTCATTAAATACAATAGAATTTGCAAAAGAATTTAACGTGCATAAGTTAATAAATATATATGCATAAATTGGCTATATTATCAGAAAATAAAATTTGATGTAATTTAATGTAACATAAGTAAAAGTCTACTGTGAAAAGTTCAGTGAATTTAACTTGAGAGTCTTGAAAATAAGAATAGAACTCACTGGGTTTGAGATGATTCCCCGATGATCTCCCTTAGAAGACGGAGCACTTCTTCATTTTTGAGCAATTCCTGTAATTCTTTGATTAATGACACTAATCGGTGAGCAAGTTTAGGCGTCGAATTTGATGTTGCTCGAGGGCTCCTTCTGCTGGGGCGGGTCTCGCACCCAGTATAGTTGGCTGTGTGGTTTTTGTAGCAATTACAACATTTTGGAGGTGTTGTTCTGTCTTTGTTGCATTCATGAGACCTGTGGTTTTCAGCGCATTTTACACACCTTGCAGGTGCATTGCAGTGGCTTTGCGTATGTCCATAATTTTGACAGTTGTAACATTGTGTAGGTCTTCGACCTCCTCGAAATCGTTCGATTTTGATCGGGATCTGCTGTATGTTGTTGACTTTGAATACTCTATGGTGATTCACCGTTGATGTTAGGATTATGAGAAAAAGTGGAAGGTGCCGATAGGCCTCTCCCATTCTCTTCTTAAACTGCACTATTTTAAAGGTTTCAATATTGTTTTTCTGTAATTCTGTATTGATGGCATCTTTATCAAAGTCCACAGGCAGGCCCCGGATCAAAACCTTAGTAAATCTGGCTTGCGGTGTTATTTCTGGTTTGCTGGGCGGATCCTGTACTTTGTCGGTAACCTCCTTAGGTTTTGTTGTCGGCAAGATAGTGACGTCATCTGTTGAGTTATGTTGGCTAGAAGAAGGACAGCTGTTTGTAGACATGAGTGTAGAATTATCTTCAATTGTTTTGACTGCATTTTGCTTCTTCTTCTTTTTTCTTTTCTTTGCTGGTGGTTCTGTATTATTGTTAATATTGATGTCCGTGTCAGTTTCTGTATTCGGTGTTGTATTCAAGTTTTCATCTTTATTTTCCATGGTTTTGTCTGCAGTGCTTGGATTAGTTTCAGTCATTATTGATTCGACTTTAATGGAGTTTTCATTCATCACCTTGTTTTCTTCTGCTTGAAATTTTTTCCGCTTCCATCTGACGTGATAAGCTGCATTTGTCAGTTTTAGGAAGTATGAGTATTCATAGTCTCCAGGGTAACTTGATCTTATCTGAATGAGCAGTTTGCTAAGTAATTTATCTAAGCGAATCAGCTCCTCTGTATCAAACTGAGAGTAAAACTCTACAAGATCATCAATATGTTCAAGTTTAACTGATGGAAAATATCTTTTTGAAATCCCACAGGTAGCAATGATTTTTTCTAATGACGTGGACTCTACGCAATGCGACGGTGAATTACGACCAGAGAATGAGACCTTTCCACCACGAGCTGTTTTATGATACGGCATGATTTGAAAAAACAAAATGGCGGGATCAAAATCCAGACATCAAAATGGTCAGTTATCAGTATTGTCTCTCTCGTCTCAGAAACCTGACGAGATCAAAATCAGCATCACTCACCTTGAAACTTTCAGGATAATCAGCATCAATTCTTCATGACCGACATCGCAAGGAAGAAGAAGACACCAGTAGAGCAAGACCAGCATCAGTTGTCGGCATCCTAGACCAGCATAGATCACTTTCTCGCAATTCTCCGATATCAGCAGTTGACCATATCATCCGATTGACCGATCCACTCAATCCTACAGGTCCGAGTCAGCATGTGACATTTCATGACCACTCGAGCCAGAAATGCTTTAGTTTGCTTAAAGGAAGATTACCTTCAAGTTAAATTATGAGTTGTGCTGGTATTGCTGATGAAAAGAATGGGTATTTTCTACTTACACCTGTTCTTAGTACAAAACGTGTTTTTTGAGTTATGCCAAAACTGCAGCCTATGAGCGAAATGTCGTATTGTCTAAGCTTTCTCACCTTTATAGAATCATACAACACATGCGTCAAAGCTCCTACTTTGAAACATGTCCTTTTTAAAAAAAGGTAATAACTGTTACCTCAATTATTTCATTTTTAGAATTTATGACGGAGAAACGGAAAATATGCATCCAATGCATTTAAATTGTCTGCTTCCACCTGAAATCATATGAAGGGAATACGATTACTTTAAAAATTACAAAGGTAGATAGCACTTGAAAAGAAAAAAAAAAGATTCTTATATGTACATTATTGCAGATTTGTAGGATTCTTGAAAAGGATTATGCTAAGTGGTAGTAAAAACATATTGCGATAAAAAGAATTTGCTTAACGTTAATCTTTTTCCAAAAGACATAAATGTCGAGCATACAGATCATATGTGCAGTGCTAAAAAAAAGAATAACTTAGTATAACCTTTGATCTAATGATCGGATTTTCACATACTAGGACTTAATCTTAATGGTTCGAGTGGGTGGCCTCAAAAATGCTAATTAGTTAGTGCAGACTATTTTTTAAG